GAGATTGGTTGCTCCAGCTCCCTGGTAGCACCAAGGTGATAAATCATTCTCTGTTTTGGATTTGTGATATGAGTTTTTGTAAACTTCTACTCTTACATCATCATCCCCATTGAAAAAGTGCAGCATATTTATTTAACACTACAATTCTGATCTTGGGGACATGGGGAAATCAAACCAGTAAAAAGGCCCACGGAATTAAACTGTAATTTGGGGAATGTAATGTTAGGGGCAGCCTACAACAAACTGCCCCATGCATTACTTTTCCAAATACATGAACCTGTGTGGGAATAAAATAGGACTTCACAAACCTGTGGCATAACATTTAAACACCCTTTTGCAAAGACTTAACTTTCTAGAGCAAAAAATATTGAATGACAGTGGTTCTCAATTTACATCAATCAGAGTAATTCTGACTCCTGCTCTATCTGGAAAAGAATCCCAGGGAGGATTGATGAACAGCACAATGCTTGGAAACATTGGAGGCTGTGCAATGCAGAAGCAGCCATTTAGCATGAGCAAAGTGAGTCTGTTAGCTGTAATGCAACTTGTATCCAGTAATGAGGTGGTGTTGAAAACAAAAATCCATGCATTTTTCAGTCACAGATCTACTTGGTCTAGATCAAGAGAATGAAGCATCTCACACAGCATCTGATGTAGAAATGACTGTCATTATCTGAGAAGTTGTGCTCTTTGGTTGAGGATAGGGAGAGGCTAAATTAGAATCATGATGAGACCAAGGATGTGCCAGAATTGAGAGTCCAGCTAGCTCCCAGAAGTATTCCACAGGGATGCTGGAAGCAGCCAGAGAGGTGCCAGCCTGCAGCCAGCAGGTGCTTATGCTGAGGAGCAGTGTGGTTCTCTGTGGGTCTGCTGGCAAACGTTGGCTGCAGGTCTCTGTGTGTCACAGCAGGGATGTGGCACCATCAGTGTGTGACTCAGCACAGAGTGTGCCTGGGGACCTGAGGTGCAGTTTGTGTGCAGTGTGTGCATGAGTGTGGCTGCAGCTGGGCTGGCCTCATCAAACTGCCTCTTGGGTCTGGTCTCTGGCCAGCTCATAACTCCAAAAGTGGGAATCCTTGTGGGAGACTTAGCTGCCAACTCCCTGTGCCAGGTGCACTTCTGGATTTCAGCTGAACAAGGGTCTGTGACCAGCATCTCTGGCCACTGTGTGTCCCTGTGTCCCCTTGCCTTCACTAGTCTCACTTGTGCAGGAGGGTGGCAGTGCAGGCAGTGGTGTTGTATGCCTGCTGGAGGACAGGAGGTTGTCCTCACCAAGACAGGTGAATTCTGAGAAAAAATGCAAGTCTTTTCTGAAAGAAGGCAGTATACAAGAATTTAGCCATCCAGCCTTTCACTAGTTTTACTTTTTAGAGCGTTTTCATAGTTCTGTGACACAGCTGAAGATAGATTACAGTTCTTCAGTTAATACTGTGTCCAAAAGTCCCTCATTCCATGTGCTGTTTTGTTCTCCCTTTTGCTAAGACCCCTCTGTTAAACAACTACCTTTTGAGTTTGGTTGTTAGGCCCACACTCTACAGTTTTCAGTGTTTAATAGCTGGTTTATGGCTCCCTTGTAAATAATCAAATTATTGTATTCTATACAAGAACCAGGAGTAAACGTTCTGATGGCAACAGCTGTAGAGAAGCCTGGCTGCATACCAATGGAACAGCAAGAGCAAAACTGTTTCTTGAATAACTGTTCAAATATATTGCTATAAACAATGAATAGCTGTCCTGACAAAACATAATGCTGTTGAAAATGGAGATAAGATGATGTGATGGATCAGTATTTATTTTCTTCAAAGTGTTATTTCTTTTACCTTTCAGCACACATTCTCTATCTTTAAATGAACTGCATTTCTTCTCTTTCTAGACAGTCCTAGGCTTGTGAACTCACTGCTCCACCAATCACCTACTACTCAGGAAAATTAGCTTTTGAATTTACAACAGCTGTTCATTTGGTTGTCCTGGCAATTTTCAGAAGTAATTAATTTTGTACTTGTATTTTTATATTTCTCACATCCTTAATAAACAATGAAAGATTTGAGAGAGACTATAAATATGTAATTTTATTTTAAGGATTTTTTTTGTGGTGCTCTGGTACTATCACTTCTTTTGTCATTCAAACGTATGTAAGGCAATTTCAGTCATAAAAAGCTCTCAGTGTCATGTTCTGCCACTTTGGCATCATGATAAATATTACTTCAGTCAAGAAATAAATTGATTCAAAAGGGACTGCTCATTGAAATAGTTGCTAGTAGTTATAGATAAGTACAGCAGGCTCTGGCTGTAAACCTTTGACTTGCACACAATTCCTTGGAAGCATAGATGATCTCCAGCATGACTGAGGGGTGCAAAGCCAGCTCTGTAACTCTTTTCTATACTGTGATTTACTGCACCTTTATATGTGGTCTCCTAAGGCTATATGGTGAAACTGAAAGGCAGCACTCATTAGGTGATTTAAGCTATCTCAGTGAGTGGAAAATGTTGCTTTGGGGATTGTAGATCATCAATAAATTGTTCGTGTGTGAAATGAAAAGCCACATTGAGGTCAGCTTCCAGTAAATTCATCTTCAGCACAGGCAATTTGGAAACACCTGGCTTAGCCCACTAATTATTTGATTGACCACTATGACTTGAAAAACAAGATAGAGGTATCAGGCAATAATGGCTTAATCAGAACTTTTAAACACTGCTGCTTTTTCAAATAAAGAGATCAGGATCTACAGCAAATGCAGCTGCCACAGGGCAGCACAACCCACTATTCTGCAGTGATAGGAGTCCACAGCCTTCTCAGTCTGATGAATTGCATGCCGAGATCTTTAGACAACAAGATTCAGGAGACATGACCTTCCACCCTGGAGAGCCACGGGATAACAGGTTGAAGAGTGATGCAGCCAACAGTGTTTTTCCTAGGGTTTCAGCAAGAGGGAGCTGGCTGCAGGGGGAACGCAGCAGGTTCCCAAGATCAGGCAGTACCATCAACCTCAGCCACATCTGTGTGCCCCTTTTCTCCCCGTGCTGAGGATTCCATTCCACAGCAATCCCTGTGGCAGTGCTGGCTCATCCCTGATTGCACGAGACATGAGCTAAGGCGAGATTAAAGGAGTGTGTCAGAAAGCATTGTGATTCTTCTGCTTTTAAGTTGTACTTTTTTGCCAATTCTCCAAGAGCTCTTACCTCCAAGTGGGTGATACTGCTTTGACCTCTGCATAGAAGCTGTGGGCTTATATGGCTGTAGTTTCTTACTTGTCCAATGTAAATATTTTTGAGAAAATCACCAATGCTGCATCCCCTGGAAGCACTATTCACACTGCACTGTTCTTAACACAAACTAAAGAGTCCATTTTTCAAGTGAGTTAGCAATGCCTTAGAAATTTATGAAAATGGCATCTAGGTAATGCAGATTTTATATAGGCAAATGGATATATGAACTGTATGGATATAATTTTGGTCATCTGTACCTGGGCATTTCAGGAATACATGTTATGAAGGAGCATTTAATGACTAGTAAATAACAAAAAGGTTCCACATTCTTAACCGAATCCCTTTTCCACGTGCTTTACCAATAAAAGAATGCTGTTCTGTCAGCTTTCTAGAATTTTTTAATCTGTTGTTGTTGTTAACTATAGCAATACTGTTGTAAATTAAAATTTACATATAGGATGTTTCAAAGGGTTTCTCTTGTGACTGCCTGAGAAATGCCAGAGACATGAGAAGTATGCATTATATTACATTAAAAAGCACAGCCAGATGGTGCACATTAGGTTCACCTTATACCCTGCAGGAACCCACTCCTTCAGACTCAGGGTGCAGAGTCCTCAACATCATAAAATCCTCTAATCTGGGGAAGGAAGGACTGTCAGCATCTGTCCCTCATCTGATGGCATTGGGGCTAGCAAGCCCAGGGGAGTGCCTTGCCAAGTGTACAGTTTGTCTTTCAGGGCTTCATCTCACCTGGCTCACAGCACTGCACCCTTCAGATGTCACCTCAGAAGAAGCCAGTGTCATCTCAGAAGTGTGTGCCAGCAGCACAGTGGCTGGTCCCTGGTGGAGATGCATCCCACATTCCTTCCAAGTCCTGTTGCTCTCTCCAGAGTGAATTGGGCAGGAAGCTCACGGTGTCTGGGGTTGTTCTGGCCCTGCAGTTGCTGTCAGAGCTGCAGCACAGAGAGCAGGGGGCTCAGCATGCCCAGCCTGCACAGCCTTTCCCCCAAGCCCTCCATACCACCACTGCTTGTGCCAGAGCTGTGCTCCAGCAGTGCACCATGTGCAGTCCTGTTGAGAGAGAATTAATGGTGCTTGATGAATGAAGCAGTTTGGGAGGTAGAATGAGGTCTGAAGCTATGGCTTGATGAAGACATTGTGCTGTCTGTGCTGCAGCTGGGCAGCTCAGCTCACTGAGCTCTGCTGTGCTCTGCTCTGTCTGCTCTGCGACTGAGGGCCAGGCTGGAAACCTCAGCAAGGATGGGGGCCAAGGCAGCACACCCCAGCCCTTCCACAGGTACCAGTCCTCTGAATCTCTGATCTTGTTGTAGCATAAGCTATTTGGGATGATAAAAGATTTTTGATCATTCACAGGCTAGTTATTAACTTACTGCAGATGCCTTTATCTATTGATGTGAAGTATTACCATGTAGTAAAGCTCCAAAGATTTATGTAAGCCAACAGGAAGATGACTTTTTACCATGTCCCTATAGAAGCACTGCTGTTTTATTAAGTAAGTAGATTTGGAAGAAATCACCATTGAATTTAACTCTTGCAGCTGACCTAATTTTCTCTTGAAAGATTTAAACTTTTCTAGTAGGCTTGATGGTCTGTCAACTCAGCATCAAGAATTTCTGCCTTTTTACTAGTGTATGACTGTCATCCTGACACGCTGATCTAAAGTGAATTACAGAGCAGGAACCATCATTTCAGAATACTAGAAAAACTAGTGTAATTGTTTTACTTAAAGAATTATACTGAAAAGATTGCTCAATCTGTTTTTCTCTTCCCAGCTGGTGGCCTCCATCGTGTTTATCAGCTTTGGTGTTGTGGCAGCCTTCTGTTGTGCAATAGTCGACGGAGTGTTTGCAGCACGGCACATAGTAAGTGCAGTGATTTTTTCATCTTTCAGTTTTTATTATTTATGTCATTTCTAGCAGGAAAGTATTTTCTTTTGGTTTATGTTTAGCAGTATATTAGGGTTTTTGATAGTTCTTGGTGGAGATAGAAAGGTGATTATAAAATGATGTCATGAAAGGCATGCTAAAAGGTGTATTTACTTAGAAAAGGATGACATTTCAACCACTACCAGCATTTGTTTCCTATTGTACAAAGGCTTTGTGGGCACAGTAAGGATTTGGAATGCACCTAATGATGAGCACTATCACCTGATGGGATTTGAATATGCTAGTTTATATATGAGAAACGTGTTGTTTGCTGTTCTATCTTTTGTGATAGAATACCTAAAAAATCAGTCTAAACCCTAGCTTTTAATTGAGCTTTGATTTCCAAAATCATCAGGAAATAAGTAGTCATATGTGTTAACAGACATTAGAGGTCAGATGTAGTATGCTAAATAATACAGCATGATGGTATACGAGCCTCTCTCTGCTATGAAATACCATGAGCCTGCTTTACCATCTTTCTGCTTGTGTTCATTGAGGGGCAGCATAACTCCACTGGCATCAGTAAGACCCTATTGAATTTCTGTTACCAAATACATCTGAATAATTAGGCTTTAGATCACCTGGAACATAAAGTTATAAACTGATTTATATTTTACTGCTACTGAAGAGGGCTTTAAACCAAATGTGGGTTTCAGAGCTTCATATTCATTGCACAAGACAAAAGACATCTATTGGTGTAAAGAGCTGAGGTGTGCAATGTGAGCATGGATAAATGCTCTGGATTGTAGTCCTGTTTTGTGGTGTACAGACCCTGCATGGTGCCACAGTGGCCTGCTTTTTCTTGGATTTACCCTGTAGTGGGTCTGGATGACACCTGGTTTAACTGTCTCTGATTAGCAAAGGCCCAGGAGCCTTTCCATGGGAGCTGCTTAAAAGAAGGGGGGGGCAAATTCCTATTTAGATTCCCTGCTCTAGAACATTCAGTGGTAGTGCCCTGGAAAACTAATGACACTTATTGAAATTTTGGACCTGTCCTGGAGAGGCTGAGGCAACTGGGGTTGTTTAGTCTGGAGAAGCAGAGGTTATTTATAGGAAAGGAGGTTATAGTGAGGTGAAGGTCAGACTCTTCTACCATGTCCCCCTTGAAGACTTGAGAAGAAATGGCCTTAAGCTGAGCTAGGAGAGGTTCAGATTGGATACTGAGAGAGTAGTTAAGCACTGGAGAAAGTTACCCAGGAATATGGCAGAGTCACCATTTCTGGAAGTCTTCAAGAGGCATCTGGATGTGTCACTTAGGGATATGGTGTAAAGGTGATTTTGGGCTGATAGCATGATCCTGAGAGTCTCTTCCAACCTTCATGATCCTGTGATATTGTAGTTTCCCAGGAACCTGACTTATTTCTGTCCTGCTTTAATGTGATCATTAGGAAGTGTTCAGATGACACTTGTAGTCTTACACATTGTAACTGCAGCGCAGCTGTGCAGCCACAGCCCCACTGCTGAGGGTAGACACCCCTTCTCTGAGGTGAGGTCCTGTGTCAGGGACAGCGAGTGCTCAGTCTCAAGCACAGACACAGGCGTTGCTCCTCACACCTTTCTACGTGTTTTCAGTAGGAGAACACCAAGGCACAAAGTCATTGCACACACCCAAGACAAAAGCATCTTACAATCTGAGGGGTGCAGTTCTGTATCTGGTTAAGGGAGTGACTGGGTATGACTGCATCCCCTGTGCAGAGCTGGAGGCTGGAAGGGGCTGGTCACCACCCGTCCATTCCCAGGAGTGCTGGAGATGTACAACCCAGTAACATGATCCTGCTTCAGTCACATCATGACAGGCTTCATGGAAATCCATGACCAGTTGTTTACATTTGGGCTCACTTCTGTTTGTCACATCTGTATCTTGCTGTCTCCTTCACCTGTGACAGAGCAAAGAAATATTAAGTACCACCATTTGTTGGTAAACTACTTTGTATCTCAGCATGATCACGCTCACTTCAACCCATTCTCCTCTGTCTAATAGGGAACCTGATAGGATCAGGTGAAGTAAAGGTCACATCACCCAGTTTCTCTGACTAATACACCTGGGACAGTCTGTAGGGATGATAGTGTAAGTGTGCTCCCAATTTAATTTACAGTAATGGTGAGCCTTATCAGAAGAACATGTGCCATACAGACTACGGTGTCACTGCCATGGAGTTACATCCTCTTTGCATCACAGCTCATTTCCTTCAGGGAGAGCAGCAACATCACGTTCGTACAGTAATGGTGAGCCTTATCAGAAGAACATGTGCCATACAGCTACGGTGTCACTGCCATGGAGTTACATCCTCTTTGCATCACAGCTCATTTCCTTCAGGGAGAGCAGCAACAACATCACGTTCAGTACACTCCCTACAGGCAAAACCAGCCTTTTTCAGACCTGGATTATGCTGTTCCCATTTTGTCCACAGCCTTTGGGGCATAACTGCGGAAGAGTTGGAGTAAACTGTCTTCCAGTCAGGGAAAGGACAAATTCAATGTCAGAGCAGGTGCCTATACTAAAGCCATCAACTTTTTGTGAGAAATGGTAGCTGAAGCCAAGCAGTCTTCAGACTGACTACAAATACAACATCTTTCACATCAATTTGGAATAAAAAATGTGTCCCCCTTTTTGTTTTATTTTTAGCTTCATTTGAGCTGGAAAGGATGTGAAGAGGGCAAATCACATAATTGCAAATTTTTCTTAGTGCGTGCCTGCAGTGGAATGGAGACAATTATTTTGCACATTTTATCCTGCTTTTATAAAACTGTGAATAGAATAATAAAATAGTATTCTCTGTTTTATTTCCTTCCCAATAAGGCATGAAATTGACAAAAATTCTTCCTGGAAATGGATGTATTTCAGAAAAGAGATGCTTAAATTATTTAAGACTTACTTTGCTTTATAGAAAGCTCTGGATCACACCATTTATAAAATTAAAAACACTGAAGGAAATGTAGCTTGATTTAAAATAAGCAGTAGCTTATTTGAGAAATAATGCAGACATAATTCATCTTAAAAAGAAAAAAAAAAACAAACAAAAACCAACCAAACCAGCATCAAGTGAAATAAATCAAAGTTGAAATTAAAGTGCAGTGATGTTATTTCAGAAAAATATGGTGATTAAAGGAATTTATGTGCATTTTTGTTTGCTTGAGACATTTTGTTATTTAGCAGATGAGAATAGTCCAGTTTTTCTGTTGGAGATCATTCAACAACATTCTCCCACCACACAGGGAGATGCCCTGTCCCACCACAGGTACGCATTCTCTGCAGTAGCTATGACCTCCTAGTCATGACTGCAAGCCTTGACCATTGCCACATGATCTTTAGCTTTGCAGTTGTACTCCAGATGAAACCTAAAATAGCCAACAGCAAGAAATCTGGGTATGAAGTGAAGAAATTGCCTTTTCCAACTGAGTTTATTCTGTGATTCTGTGAAGGAAAAGCTGGGTGCTGTGGAAGGCAGAGTTGCTAGTCCATTGTGACATCTAAAATGCACACTAAACCAAGCAGTGTTAAGTTATTCCTCTCCTCTTCTGCAAAGCCACTTCTGTGCAACAGTGATTTAATTTAATTTTCAGCTGACCTAGTTTCTTCCTCTTGATAGTGATGACTTAAGGAATTAATTGAAATAGAATATGTTGTCAGGTGCTAAGCCCTAAAATGAACCTGAGAATGAACTTAGCTGAACTAGAGGATACTGAAACACTCCTAGACTCCTAGATTTGGATCTTCACCCTTATGGTTTAAGTGCAGCTTGTGAACTGCTGAAGTATATCAGCTGGGTAATCACCTACTGATTTGGGAGTTTAGAAATTAAACTTGAAATATTTGCTTTCTGTTTATATATAGTAACTCAAAATACTGTTTGCTGAGATGGGCATTATGTAAACTCGCTTTCTGTGAGGCACAGAGACAAGCCAGTGGGAAAATGGAGTCTTTGATCTGGGGGATGCTCATACAGATTGAGCTCTGGTTGGTGGAACTCCCAAGCTGCTGTACTAAGCAATGTAAAGTTAGCAGCCCTGACCTAGCAAACAAATAGCTACATTATAAACATGTTCTGTGTGATGAAGACCTGCTGATTTCTGTGTTAAGAGCAGTTCCCCAGCAGAGATGCAGAGACCCCTGCCCAGCAGTGTCCTATGGGCTCCCAGCAGTGCCTGTGTGCTCCCAGCAGTGACTGTGTGCTCCCAGCAGTGTCCTGTGTGCTCCCAGCAGTGACTGTGTGCTCCCAGCAGTGACTGTGTGATCCCAGCAGTGTCCTGTGTGCTCCCAGCAGTGACTGTGTGCTCCCAGCAGTGTCCTGTGTTCTCCAGCTGCTCCCCAAGGGACAGAGGTGCTGGTGCTGCTGCCTGTGTGCCCTCAGGAGCTGGCAGCCCCATGCAGTGTTGCATGTGCAGTGACAGAGATGTCAGTCCCCTTCCCATCTCTGGAGCTTCTCATGGAGGTTACAGGCACTCGGGCAAGGACAGCAGCAGGGGTGACTGGCAGCTTGGCTGGCCACTGCTGCATTTTACTGCAGGGTGGCTCCATATGCCCATGGCATTTAACACAGGCCACAGTCTTGCACACCGCAGGCCAGATCCTCTAAAACGCCATTTGAAAATGTTCTAATCCAACCTGTTGGCTTTCCTGTTGAAGAAAAAAGCAAATAGTTGTATTCCATGTCTAACGCAACTCAAAGAATAATTTCTCACTGGAATTAAATTAGGTAGATTCTCTGGAGAACAACGCTAAATGCGTTTTGTGTTCTCCATGTTGCCACATGAGACAAAATTACACCTAATTACTTCTAATTCCATTTCCATCCTGTATGACTCATTAGTGTAATAGCATGGCATAGCATATACCGTAAAAAGCATCAAAAGCAGCACGTCCAGTAGGTCAGGGGAGGTGATCTGCCCCTCTGCTCTGCTCGGGTGAGACCCCCCCTGGAGTGCTTCATCCAGCT